GGATGTATGCCTGTATGATGTATATATATATATATATATATTTATATATATATATGTGTGTGTGTATGTTTGCGCGTCTCTGTGTGTGTGTGTATGTTTGCGCGTCTGTGTGTATGTGTGTATGTTTGCGCGTCTGTGTGTGTATGTTTTTATGTGTGTGTGTGTTTGTTTGCGTGTGTGTGTGTGTGTGTGCTTATGTATGGGTTGGGTTGGGGAAGTGTATCTTTAATAATGTGTTTTCATACATGTGTACACTTGTATGGATATATGCACATACGTATTGACGTACTTACCAAATATCCACAAACTGATGTACGATGCGTATATAAGCGAATGCTCATCCGCATGTATTTACGTAGGTACGTGCACATATATCTAGCACATACGTTTTTTATTATGTTCTGATATATAGCTGTCGAAACTTTAAGTGTAACCCATTAAACTGCTCAGAAATGTTTGTTCTCCGTTTTGACATAAGTGCACAATCTACGTATAGATATCAAAAGACAACGATTGCTCTCTAGCAACATAAATCTCTTGATCTATTGACGAAGTGTTGCATTGCCTCCTCAACCTTTCGACTCACAGATACTTGGGTGGACTAAACATTCGAATGATAGATGTTGACGCGTTCGAAGGGCTGACAGAGCTGACCCACATTGATCTGAACAGCAACGAGCTCAAGGAAATTCCCGATAGTCTCTTCTACTCCAGTTATCTAAAAAACATGTAAGTGAATGTCATAAGTTTCGAAGAAATTGATACTATGAAGGTTTCGACATTTGAAGTTTGCGCAAAACGTGCTGCGGTGGGCGAATGGTTGACAAATTGATCTCTACGAGACTACCATCAGCATTTACACGGCCAAAAAGCATGACATCACACAATGTTGTCTTTGAACTGTTTAGTGATGTATTACAGAGATGCTGGATACAAGCATGCAAGATAAGGAGTGGCCCAGTGTGAGATACATATAAGTTTAAATGTACATGCACGGTAAAAAACCAGTCAGAGCAAATATCGGAGTTGGCATAACACAAAATTCACATCCGAATACACACTACATTCTACCTATGTAAAAACGCTTAAGTGCCACACTGTCGTTTCGTGGTTCGATTGTGAATACTCGTCTATATGTTTGCTTCTACTTTGGTGATTCAATTTTTGGGCATGACTTTGTTTCTATATATCAGCGTTTGAGCCTGAAACAAAAGTGATACTGAACAGATGGTTGGCGTATGTTTCTTTAAATGCCAAGATATTTATTAATGTGTACATACAATGAAAACGTATCCGGTATTCATCTGCAAATACTCGTCACTATAGTAGCTTCTTTTCAAAAATCGAGGACTATATGGTTTTCAAAACTGAAATTTTCCGCTTCCGTAAATTTGTTGGTAGGCGCCTTGTCCGTGATAATTACACCTGAGACCAGCCTCAAGAAGAGATATGCTACCTGTCATGAATATATTTGTCTCATGTGGTCATTGTGAACTATTTTCTTGACGGATGTAGAATTGCCGTTTAATCGTGACAGTGAAAATTCACATGGCTCTACACCTTTTACATTTATTTCGTTAAAAGGAACTCCACTAATGTGACCAGGCAACCCTTGCTTTAATCTCATTTCAGAAATTTAGGGTATAATCGCCTCCTGGCGGTGCCACCGAATTTTATAGATAGCGTGAGTGATAATACTGTATTTATCAAATTGGACCTGGAGAAGAACTTCTTGCAAAATTTGCCGTATCTGAGCAATGCGAATCGTGTGGTCGATCTGACACTTTCGGGAAACCCTGTGCAGACGTTGCAGTACAACGACTTGTCTGGATACACGTCACTGCAGGAGCTCAAAATCGAGCGAATGGGTCTGAAGCGGATATGTAAGTGATATATATATATATATATATATATATATATGTATATGTATATGTATATATATGTATATAGTATATGTTTATTGTATTATGTATATG